CAAGGGGACACACTGCCCACACTTACTCTTTGATTTGGAGGAGGAAGAATTCAATTTGACAGAGAAAACTGCTGGTTCCTAATCTGTATCACACCATGGCTAGCAACCTTGGAAAGGGATGTCTGTGCAGAAAAAATCAGCTATCCCTCTGTGTATTTCTGTAGGTTGAATGAAGTACCAAAGGAAATGCCCATACTGCCTTTTGCTCTCAAAAAACTGCAAAGACAGTGCGTCACTGGTATCAGCGATGAAGGAAACTGCATCTTCTTCTGAAAAGGAGAGTGGTGTTTTCTGTTAACTTCATGATGAATCTGGGGATGGGGTTGTAAACAAGGGAGGGCTGTATACCTGTATGCTTTAACAGAGCTGCATTGCAGGGAGCCCTTTGAGCACATTGCATTTTGAAAACCGTTCGCTGACCTTAGTTTGCCGTCTTTGTAACGGCTCATATGACATTGCCAAACTAGTTGCACAAAATCCGCCTGTTAACCTCATAGTCTGGAAAGCTGGATGTATGAAACGGCTGTCTGAAGATATGCCTTCCAAGATCCTTGGCCAGGCCAAGTTTTCTGTACTTAAAATTGCTGTTGCCACAAGAACAGCAGATGTTTGCACAGCAGACAAACAACATTGATGATAAAGCAAATTGACCTTTTTTGGAACAAGCTATTTGGAGCACATTCCTAGGGCAATTCCTTTTTTTCTTCCTTTTTTTCTTCTTTCTTTTCTTTTCTTGGATTGTATTTTTCTTCATAAAACTGATTGACTATACATTAACATGTCTGTTGCTAGAGGTGATTAAAAAAATTAAAGAGTTTACAAATTTTTCCACTAACACTGATACTCCAAATCATTAAACTTAATCCAAACCTATTTTTGTCAGCTGTATTTTACTGAAGTAGTTATAATGATGTTTATTTTTCCAGTGTCCCTATGGGAACCCTGGAAGATTCCAAAATGTAATAATTAAGGAATGACAGGCCTTTCCTTACAATATAAAGTGAGGAAGAGTTTTGTGGTTTAAACAGCTATGCTGTTGCTTGTTAACAAGATATTTTCCCTTATACTCCAGCCAGGCCTATAATGGTCAAAAAATGTTGAAGTTGAGAACTACACGTTTGTTTTCAATCAGTTGTTTTTCAAGTTAAAAGGCTTTAATGGCTTGCTTTAATTTGTTCAGTAGTATTCGTCAGTAGTATTGATATTTGTATTAGATCAGTACAGCTGAGTCTATCCCAGTAAAGCAATACATTTTGTTGTCACTTATTTTTATTATTGCTAGACCTTTCTTTCAAGGTATAAAAGATTAATTGAAAGTTTGGGGAATTTCTGTGAACTTGATTTGCATACTTCTGTTTAAATTACATTTTCGAAGTATTTTAAATGTAATATTAAACCTGTATTTTAATTGTATAATTAAATATTTTTAATAAAGTTGCTATAAAGTAAAAATACCACTAAAGTGAAAATCTCAGTGTTATATGCCTGCATCTTTACTATTTGGACCTAAACCCTAAGTTTTTCTAATCGTAAGCTGATGTTCCTGTAGTTGTAACAAATGTAATTCCTGGTAGAGAATTGATTCATGGCATCTGAGGAATTTCAGAAAAATTGGCTAAGCTCAGACTTGGGAACCTCTTGAGATTTTTAAAGGTTTTCATCCATTGTACCACTAACATTAGTAGAGGTGTGCTGTATTGCTTAACAGGAGAAAACTTAAGACCCTTCATTTTTGCATCACTGTTTTTTCAGACGTGATTTACAATGCTAATTTAAGGACTAGGATAAAGACCCTTCATTTTTGCATCACTGTTTTTTCAGACGTGATTTACAATGCTAATTTAAGGACTAGGATAAAGAAGTCTATTAAAAATACAGGTAGCTCGTGTCTTGACTCAGTTTATAAAATTGCTTTGCTGAACAGTAGGCAGTAGGCTTTTGGACAAGGGTTTTGTAGTGCCTTGAAGGATTGTGTGATATCAAAATTCTAAACTGAATGATGAGTTATCTGTATCAGTATTAGGGTTTGGGTTTTTTTTGTCAGGATTAGTTCATAACATTAAAAAGACTGTGCTAGTTTTGGCTGGCGTAGAGTTAATTTTCTTCACAGTACTAGTATGGGGCTGTGTTTCGGATTTGTGCTGAAAACAATGTCGATAACAGGGGGATGTTTTCGTTACTGCTGAGCAGTGCTGACACAGAGTCAAGGGCTTTTCTGCCTCTCACCCCACCCCACCAGCGAGCAAGCTGGGGGTGCGCAAGAAGCTGGGAGGGGACACGGCCGGGACAGCTGACCCCAACTGACCAAAGGGATATTCCATACTGTATGACATCATGCTCAGTGTATAAAGCTGGGGGAAGAAGAAGGGAGAGGAGCTGTTTGGAGTGATGGCGTTTGTCTTCCCAAGTCACCGTTACGGGTGATGGAGCCCTGCTTTCCTGGGGATGGCTGAACACCTGCCTGCCCATGGGGAGTGGTGAATGAATGCCTTGTTTTGCTTTGCTTGTGCGTGTGGCTTTTGCTTTACCTGTTAAACTGTCTTTATCTCAAACCATGAATTTTCTCACTTTTACTCTTCTGATTCTCTTCCCCCCACCCCACCAGGGTGGGGAGTGGGTGAGCAGCTGCGTGGGGCTTAGCTGCTGGCTGGGGTTAAAGCACAACAAAGGCAAAATACTGAATTCTAGGAGAATCCAAATTGGGTTTCTTACATGTGCCTAGATAGAATTTTGTTCTTATGTAGGGTCATTTGGTTTTGGAGCTTTTGAAAACCAATTCCTATTTTTGTTTAGAAACGTTATTGTGAACAAGTTGTTCTGCAGTATAGCGCCTGTTACAGCTCTTCACTGCAAATAAAGCTATACTAATTCCATCAGCCTCTGATAGATAGAAGTGGACATAGATGGGTCCCTGTACCATGAAAGCATAAGCTAAAAAGGTTATGGATACCATATGATGTGCTTTTTTGTTTCTTTCTTGATCCAATTATGTGATGGTCAGTGCCTTGTCTCTTACAGAAAATACTGTCCCTGTTTTACAGATGTGAAACTGTATGTGAACTATCTGGAGGTGCTTCTTAGGATCACTGAGAAAGACTGCCTTTGAGTCAGAAATAGATTTTAACATTTTCTGAGATCCATTCCAGTCCTGTGTACACAGGGTTATACAACCTTCTTTTGGGGGCAACTTTTATGAACCATATTTACTGAAGCTTCTGTTTTAGTAATAGTTTTCATTTGTGTAAAGTATTAAACATGATTTTAAAACAATTTTTTTAAAAGAACTCCTTTTCCTGCTTAATTATTTAAAGTTTTGGGTTTGGGTTAGGTTTTTTTTTATTTGTTTGCTTGTTTTTTTTACCAAAGGTTGTGTTATGTGGTTTTTGAGGTAGAGTTATCAGTAACTTCGATGTTTTGCAGGCATGCAGAGAATGTGTTAATGAAGAGGGACTTGTTAGTTGTAGTGCTAAATGGGACTGAAGGAGGGGAACAGTCCTCCTGATACTGTTTCATTGCAAAGAACACTGGGGTTACCTAGCTGGAATATAACACTTTACTTTGTTTCCTGCTTTCAAAGATACTATAAAAGAGAGGAAAAAGAAGAAGGAAATGAAGCTTAACTTCATGTATGTGGGGTTTTTGAACTGAATGTGATTCTTGACTACAACTGTTCTTGGCTTCTGGAAGCGAGAATTGACTATTAGGTGTCCCCTATCTTGAAGTGGTCTCCAAAAATAACATCATCTAAGCCAGTATTGCCTTTCCAGTTGTCATTGATCAGCATTTTAATTTTTCATTGAATATAATATTGTTTTGCTCCTTGGCAGAGAAATTCATATTGTCCAAAGTGAACTCCTCATTATATTACACTTTGCTTTTGCAACCAGAGTTAGCAACATATGGCACAGATGCAGTGGGTGTCTATGAACTCAAAAGACTGTAGAAAAAATATAATCAGCTTAACTTCTTCTTTTTTCTTTAAATTAAAAGCGAAAGCAAGCTTACTTCATAAAGTTTTTCTCACAGCAGTTTTGGCTTAGTTCTTATTGGTCATTATTTCTAGCTTTAAACTTCATTATATTACATTAGGGAATATAGGTTTATAAGCAAAATGTAATCACAACGCTGAAGACAACAGACCATTTATTTTATGTTACTGTTACCTTGTTGTTTGGGTTTTTTTGTTTTGGTGTGTTTTGTTTTTTTTTAAATGATTGATATTTTCCTTTGTTTCAGCGAAACCTTTTACATCTAAAGTGAAACAGATGCGACTACATAAAGAAGATTTTGAAATCCTGAAGGTGATTGGTCGAGGAGCCTTTGGGGAGGTATGTGTGTGAAGGAGGTGAAAGGAAGGGTTTAAATTATGCTTTTGCAAAACTGCAGCACTGAGGAGAGACAGTTAATAGCAATATACTGATGTACAGGTTTTTACATTATTTAGGCATAATGGATATTGTAGGTCCACCTAATGTTTGTTGCAAGTACATTTTGATTTATACATTCTTTGACAGATCTTTTTAAGTCTTAAATTTTGAGAGAAGGCAAGTTTACATGAATTAAAAAAACATGTTTTCTACTGTCTGATAAGTTATTTGCTTGACTGTAATTCTTTCCAGTCAGCAGGTGGAGGCCAGTTGAGTTACTGACTGTATGAAGATCTAGCCATTTCTAATCATCCTAATAACTAAATAGCCTGAAAGTAGTTTTAAGCAACTTAAATAGCCAAATACTGATATTGACATTCTACGAACACAGAGAAATCTCTCTACTCCTGTCACTTCATTTCCTATTTTTAGTGAATGTTTCCTGTATTTCTTCTAAAGACTTTAGCACATGATTTTCTTTTTCAGTTGCCACCTACTGCTGTCGAACTATACAATTTTTTGCTGCTTCTGATTAAGCCATCTCTTCTTTGAAGTCATTAAACAAGACTGTCGTTCACTAGGTTTTACACTAGGCATGTCAGATTATATAGGTTTGAGGAAACTTGAGTAAATAAACACTAACTTTCTGCCCTGTCTTCTTAATTATATTAGGTGTGTGTGCTTTGTTCTTCATACAGGACACTATGTATGTAGAAAGAGCAATCTAATGTATAATGGTGGCTTGAATTCTTGATAGCCAAATATACAACACGAGGGGATAGTATGTAAAGCTGCAGAAGGTACTCCATACTGCCTGAAAGTACATGTGAACTGAAACCCAAAGTATAAGAAAAAGGTTTTCTGAGCAATGTCTTCATTGCTTTTGGAACTGGAAATGTTTGGGTTTTTTTCGGTTCTTCTGGTATGAGAGCATCTCTGCAGAAGAGTTGGTTTCAGGTCTTTACTAGTCTGTGATTATGGAAGAATAGACTTCCGGGGGTGGCACGTAAGGAACAGGAATTTTTACTGTAGTGTGTGTCACTACATACTCTGATGCCTACATGCAAGTATCATTGGGCAACTGTAAAAATAACATGAAAAGAGTAGTATTTATTTAGCTACTTCATTACTTTTTGTTGGTTTTGCTCCACCTGGAGTAATGCTTCTTGATAAAGGAGACTGAAAGCTGAAGTTCCTCATGGATAATTTATCTTTCATCTGAACATTGTCCACAAAGGGAATGTTGCGTTCTCCATTTTGATGTAAACGCTTGTGCTTAAAACATTAGCTTTTCTGAGTGCTGCCGTAGTAGTTGCAGCTGAGTTCATGAACAGATTGTATAAGAGGTAAGAAAAATCACTGATGTGGGTGCTTGTCAGAAGAATCATGTGCGAAACCTGCCTTATATTGTGTTTTTAAGAGAAGTCATTTCTGTCTGCTAAATCAGCATCAAAATTCACTGCAACTAGCTAAACCACAGAAAACCTAGTTCTCAGAGAGCTTCTTTGTGGTGAATCATTCCATGAATAATGAGAGTGTAACTTTCCCCATCCCCTTCTGGGGACGGTCTATGTAATTGGTTAGTTCTCTTTTAGGAACAGTCTTTCTTTCTAGTTCCTTACCGAAGAAAGACAGCATGACTCTACTTAATTGTCAAAATCTTCGGTAAGGGAAAAACTGAAGTTCTCTCAGTGAAGATGTTTGGTCTTCTATGTTCTTAAAGTAGGACTTACTAAATATTAACAAGGATATATGTTAAATTTTCTTACTAGCTTAAAGATGACAAGTTTCAAGTCCTACACAGACATTTGTCTAAGAAAACAAGTTCTGTATGAAATTACTAATTTTCCCTTAAAATAACCAGTAAAATCTGAGCAAGACTGAAAAAGGACCACCAAATTTTACTGCTACTTAAACCACCAAAAACTATATTAATAACAAATTGTAAAAGAGTTGTATGATCCAGTAGTCTACAGTAGTTTACTGTGACAGATGAAGAAATCTGGAAGAATGTATTTTCTTTCCAGCTAACTGTAAATGAGACCAAGGTTGCTCTAGGTTACTGGGAGGAGTAATTTTTGTCCCCTGAATCAACATAATTCTGAAATTCTATAGACTACAAACTTAGTGCAAGTTTTCTTTGGCACAGTCTCAGACTTGTTCTTATTTTGATTTTACGCTACTCAATTTCTTCAATTTGCATAGACAAGAAATATTTCCCTTTTTGTTTTTACAAGTTTGTTGTAGACAAAAAGTAGTTTAAACTAGTTATTGCTTATAACTGTAAGAGTTCATTGTTCCTAATTTTCTTTTTCCCCCCTTACCCTCCTTGCTGCCAGTCTGAGAATGCTTCATTTTTGTCAAATTAACGACATGCCCCTTCCCTTTCCATGCATGCATTTACTTACTTAAAATTTTATGTAAGAGAGTGCTGTCTTTAGAAAACACAGATGTTTTGCTTGGAGGAGAAGGATTATCCTGGTAAAATTAATAATGTTGGCATCAAGTGTTTCATTGTGCTGGCTTCGGGCAGCATGGTTTAAAAAAACTTAATGAACAACTCTAAACAAGACAACTTTAAACTTGGGAGTTGAAGAATGCTGCTAGGAAAGGTAAAGCGATGGGGCAATGGCTCTTAGCATTATACTGCTCTATAAAAGTGCGGCTTATTGAAGAGTCTAGCTAATACTGAAATTTTCGCTTGATTCTATTATTGCTTAAGGGAGAAAAAAAAAGTTCAGTGCTTGCTTATGCAAGAAAATGTTATGTCGTTATGTTGTTGATATTTCAAAGATGATGAATTTTGTAGCTCTGAGAACTAGCTAGTTACTCCTAAATTTTGGCATCCAGTTATGAACAGTAACTTTCCTTCTTCCTGTTTCTGGAGGGCTGCTGACTCTTGATGAACAGGAAAACCGATGCTGAGTGTGGAGTCTTTTTTTTTTTTTTTTCCTTATTTTAATTTTTCTTCCTTTTTTTTTTTTTTTTTTTCAGTTTTAATAGCTTCTCTTTCAGCTTTTTTCTGTGTAAGGCCGTTGCTTTTAAGCAAAGGAAATGTGCAGACATGTACCATAGAGAGACGTAGCCAAGTTTGGGGCAGAAGGTGTCTGACAGCATGCCAGACTACACTGCTGTTTGTGGGAAATATGGAAAACTGTTGGAAGAATGGGAGAAAAAAACCCTATCTGACTAAACCAAGATGTTTACATCAGCACATACCAATCATTTTTTTGTTGGGCTGCTCACAGGAAAATATAAATTTAAAAACCCCCAACCTTTAAAAGTCCAATTGTAAGAAATTCCAGTAGCAAGACACTTCAGGATAACTAGACAGAAATGATTACGCTTCTGTCTTGACAGCTTCAGTGGGGAAGGGAGAAGATCAAAAGAGCACTCTGTGTGTGTATTTGGGCCTTTATACAGGTAGTATGTGCTTCTGTGTGTGTGTATGTAAACACTGCCTGGGTGTGTAATCATGTTTCAGAATTTTTTGTTACAATTAGAAACTGCATCAGACTGCTCATTGCCAAAGTGTCAGTTTTTTCTTTCACAGTCCCGAAATAAGCACTTAGAATTCACTTCCATAGAGCACTGACACATGCCCAAAAAGATGCTGTGATTGCAGAAAAATGATGATGTTTGCGATCCTTTTTGTGAGTGTGTGGTGGTTATTGGTATGGAATAACATGAATGGCTTTCACAGACTAAAAGACTGGTTCTGACTGATTGTAAACACAGCTGGTAAACATGAGTCTATTTTTGTTCTTTAGTCACTCTTCAGTACTATTACCCACTCACAGAAGGTACCAAGCCCTCAATCTTGTCATGAAGCCCTGTGCTCCAGCTGTTAACCAAAGGCAGTGCTATATCTCTTTTGGTTGTGTCCAAATGAATGCTGTACAGGAGACTGCAAATTTAGGCAGCTGTGCAATTAGCATATGTCTTTCAGAAACCAAGTCTTTTGCAGAATAACAAAGCCTTTCACTGAGCATGCTACCGGCAAGAAATGAAATCCTGAAGTTGGACTTGAAATACATGTACTATCTTAGGCCTCTGGCTGCCTGTACTACAATGGTTAATGGTGGGTAAAAAATTACTTTCTGCTGGGCAACAGCAGCAGTCTAGTCAGCTCTAGGACCAACCTTTTAATTTTTCCCAACAGTCGCAAAACCCTTAAAGGTGTTTAGGGCAGAATTACATTATAGCTTCATACCACATATCTCTTCAGCATGCAGAGGGGGTCCCTGTCATCCAAGATATGCTACAGTTTGAATGCTGACTCGTTTCCATGTTAAGGCTTTCTCCTCTTGCCACTTCTCATTAGAAATCTGTACCGATACGGCTTCTCAGAGTTTCAAGCTGACTTTAGCTAGTAAAATAAAAGGAGACTCAAGATGCAAGTCCACATTGTGGGTTATGTATCCCTGCAGAAGATTCATGTTTCCCTCCTGAGGAGAATTGTGATGCTCAGTCTTGGGGTACCACGCACAAGAAGAGTAGACATTCTTTATGAATTAGAATTAGATTATAGTCTAAAGTAACAATCTATTTTTGTGTTTCGAATCTGAAGGTACCTTGAGGGATCCCAACTGGACTTGGACCTCAATTTTTATGCATGAAGTAACCTTTAAACATTTCAGTTCGTAAGCTAGTTTAAACAAGTAGATGTAGTACCTTTCTGTCTTGTCTTCCTTTTTATCTGCCCTCTACTTCCACCCCCTGCTGCCCCAGAAGGCAGCAATGTCAAGAGCAGGGCTGATAATGAGTTGCTGCACATATGAGAAGTGACAGCTGCTTCCTCCTTGAATCTGTAGCTAAGCAAGAGGTATACTTGTAGATACGCTTTAGTTTAGACATCTGAGTATTGCGGTCCTTCTGCCATATTCATGAAGCTGCTGCAGCTGATGACACATTTGAAGATGCTTGAAAGAGGTTTGCATGACACTTTCTTCAAACTGTCTGATCCTGTATCTGATTCTGTTATCACTGTCTTCACACATAGCTGGTTTACTGATTATGAAAGAGGTGGAAGGAATGTAGGATTCAACCTCAGTATTTTTTTGTCACTGGCCTGCAGGATGAAGATGATGATAATCTGTGTGACAGCATGTTGGTTTGTATCCAGATGCACACAGAAATAAACTTTTATCTCCTTAAGCCTTAAGATTTACTTGAGAGGGAAGAGGCAGAACGGGATAGTTGGAGAATGGTTGTTAAAATGTAGTGATTGTTGAACTTTTCTATAATTGGGATGGTAGTGTAGTGGTCTGATGTAGTTCTGATCAGCAACTCTTGAGTCTGTGGCAGATTCATGGCCATTTTGGGTAAGATACTTATCTGTACCCAGGGAAGCCTGAACGGTGAAAACGTGTTTGTGTAAACTTCTTCCCTCTCTTTTTCCTAAAAATATTCCATGTTAGCTTTAATTATAGTTAAACAAAACTACAATATTCTCAGAAAAGGCCTGTGTTAGTTGGCTTTGTTAATATATTATTACATAAGCCTATGGTATCTAATGTTGCAGAAGCAATGAGAAGGAGGGGGGCTTGTGTTTCCCAAGTTCTACTTCTTTAGAAAATGTAGATTTCACTGTTTCCCTGCCACTGACAGCAGATATGATAAAGAACTCATTGAACGTCAGGTGGAAAAATATGAAGTAATACTTTACTGCATCTTTGAAGAAAGTCTAGTGCATTATTTGAAATGAGAGTGGAAGTTGTTTTATGGCAAACCTACAGTCTAATTTGTGCCTAAAACTGAAAAGACACTGTTTAATTTGTTATAGAAACTACTACATGGTTGTCTTTTCTTGGCAGTTCTGTAATTTAAATTGTTATGTAGGACTGGAAGGGTAAGTCCAAGAACATAAAGCATATAGCCAGTGATAGCTTCATGATAGTATAACAGAGCAAGAAGAGTGATGGTGAGAAATACCATTGTTCATCTACAGTCACCTAGAAAAAAACATACATAATGAAAGCTTAAAATAGACTTGGAATATTCGCAGAATAAATATTCTGTACCGTTGTGATGTTACTCTTTCTTGATGGTGATGGTGTGGTATTGTGCAGGTAGTAAAGCTAAGTGTCCAGAACACTGAAGAAAAAACCTCCAAAACGGCAAGGTTTCATGGAAATTAAAATAATATGCGTTTTCATGTTTTAACTTATTTATCATTCATTTATCTTTTCCAGGTTGCAGTAGTAAAATTGAAGAATGCAGATAAGGTTTTTGCCATGAAGATACTGAATAAGTGGGAGATGCTGAAGAGAGCTGAAGTAAGATTACAGAAATGTTTCCTATATTCATGCATCCTCTTACTGTGCTGAATTGCTACTTCTGTTTCCACAAGACTCTGTGTATATAGAGGGACTGAGGAGATGCTTCGCTACTTACTGACAATATGAAGATTAATATTAAAATAAGCTTAAAGCATTTCGTCATAAGGGTTAAAATGGCATGGAATCTTGACTTAGGTGGGGCAGGATGTTTTAGACATTATACCTTTTCTGTAATTGCCCAAGAATTACTGACTCTCCAAGCGATCTTTTAATGCATTTATTCCTGTTAGGAATGTAGTCTTTAGCAAGTATTTTCCATGGTAAAAGGTAATTACTGAGCTATAACACATAAAGCCTGTTAGTTTATCAGTAGCTAGAACTTAGTCAAGGTCCAATTTGTGTATTGAAAAATCAGAAAGATAAAAGTTTCAAATTAATTTGAGTGCATGTTTCATAAAAATGTCCATCTGCAAAAATTTGTGATGAAAAGTTCCTAGTTAAAACTTGAGTCTATTCCATGTTCTAAAAAAGGGTGGAACAGGTCTTTCATCAGTCCTGCTTTGCCTGGGGTTCGTACTTTCATTATAAGACTCCACTCTTCACAGAATCCTCAATACATTTTCCTGGATTCCTTTGGAAAGAAACTTGTAAAATGCAGTCTACAGCTGAACACTTGTGTGTTAATTTTAAACAGAACATGTATCTAACTCTTTAAATTGCTTTGAAATTCTTCATCTATGCTAAATACTAAAATTCAACTGCCTGAAAAATAGACTCATAAAAATGTAACTCAGTGCTCAGTGTCTTACACAAATTGACAAATGACCAAATTGCTTTGGCCATTGGGTTTTCTTTAGTTTGGACAGTGCAAACACTATCTTGGTGTCTCTTCCAACTTGTCTGATGGGATTATCTCTAATCTCAGTTTTTATTTGAGACTCCTACTCTCAAACTGCCTTGCTGTTCAGTTGCTTCCAAGTTTATTCCAATTTCCGCATTTGTGGTTTAATTTTATCTTGTTAGGAAATGAGATCAATGGGAAACAATCACACTTCAAAAAAAACCCAACGTATCCAGACAAACTAGAGCCAATTTCTGATGTGTGCACATCCTGTCTTTTTTAATGAAAATGTTATCATGTTAAGAAGTATAAATGACATGCAGATTGTGGTTAGATGTGCACAATGTGTTTCCTCTTTATCCAGAAATTATTCAGATACTGAGCAATCTGGCATTGGTCTTGATGCAAAGAGGTATTTCTCTCCAAGACAGATGTCATTACTGTAAGTTTTATTATTTCTAGCGAAAAAGAAAAGTCCAGAAATAAAGTTCCACTCAATTTTAAAATGTACCCTTTTAAAGTCAGTTAAAAGCTATTTCTTTCCTTTAAAATACAGTTATAAATAGGTTTGAAAGATTTTTCTCCATGCAAGGTATTAAAAATACTCTTCCCATGGGTCCAGCTGAATTTCTGGAAGTCTGAACCATTAGCCTAAAAAGAATTACAGCTATGTTTTCGCATGTATTTGTAACCCATGGGTATACAGTGGAAAGAGAACCATCTGGAGTGAAAATGCATTACAAAGCATGACCTTCAGTAACTGTAACCTGTAATTTTTAAATGTTGGTGAACGCATCTCGCTTGTTACTACTGCTAGGAAAAATGACAAATTTTGGCTCTGTTAGTAATGTGCTGCACTAACACTGAAATTCACAGGAAAATCATACAGTCCAAAAAAATGCAAGACAAGCATATAGGTAGGTATACACAAATGGCAGAAATAACTTGGTCATATATCTTTGTATCAACGTTATGGGCAGTGGGAGTAATTTGTAAAAGCAGAAAGGGAGTATGTACTCAGAGGTTTGCTATGTCAGATTAAGGTTAATGACTGCAAGTTCTGAGAGTAATTGTATGCAAAAACAATGAAATTATACAAGTTGTGAGGTCAGTGTTCTCTTTTGTATTATGAAGAGCAGAAGTTTTCCAAATGCTTGCCACTGTTGAAAACTCAGAGATGTGACATAGAACTGGCTACATTACTTATACAAGGAGTACCTGAAAGTGTGACAGCTTGCTGATTACACTCCCAAGCCTGTTACCCTGAGTGTTGACAATCGTGTATGCCACAGTGGTGGCCAGATGAGGCTCAGGAGGGAACAGGACAAATCTTACGCAGCACGGAAACAGTCAGCGCTCCCAGAAAGTACTAACTCCGAGCTGTAAGGGCATGACCACCAAATAGCCAAGCAGCCCGAATTCTTTGCTGGTTCAAGGCCACCATAACGGTACAGATATAACCATAGCACTTAGTTGGCTTTGCTGTGACAGAGAGTTGGATCAAAGGACCTCTGGATGTCCCTGCCAACAATTCAAGGAGACTGTGCCTAGGGAAGATGAGGTGTAATGTTGAAATAATGAAAGGCACAAAAAAAGGCTCAATTTAAAAACAAAACAAACAAAAAAACCTCACCCACCTACAAAAAAAAACCCCCAAAACCACCCAAAACAACCAACTTAATTGAGCTATGTTACAGTAATTACAAGTACCACTGCTGTCCCCCTCCCCTCCATGAATTAATGTAAAGCTCATGAACCACATAGACTCTGACTATTTGGCTGTTACTGTTTCAGCTGTGATCTGCTGTGGTAATAGCTGTAGCTGTCAGCTCTAGGCATACTGCCCGGAGGTGGGTGGCTAGAGTGCTCAAGGAATGCATGGTCTTTTGTTAAATCATGGCAAAAACAAGTGGAATTATATAAACTCTCTGTAGTAACAAATCCTGTGAATTGTGTCATAGCAAGTAGAGAAACTACGTGTCATTTATCTTTGTGAAAAGAAGAGTTCATAGTATCTCTCTGTGAAATACATCAGGAGTTTACAAACAAGGAGGGGAAAAAATCAACCTGAAGCATAGAACCGCTTTTCTTCCTTCTGAAGATCATCCCTTCTCTTTCTCCCACCCCTAAGTCCATTTATCATTTAAAAACATTTGAGGGTATTTCTTTAAAGTATGTTTTGTTATTTTTCCCAATTTCACTGATTAATCTCATGCATTGTGCTATGATTAAAGTACACCATTTTTCTTTTTCTTGGTCAGCGTTATTCTTACTCACTGTATTCACCAAAATAAGACTTGGTATGGTTTATTTGCTTGGAGGAAGGAGTTATTTTCTGCTCTGTTTTTACTGCATGTATTCTTGTGCATAGCTCAGTCTAAAATGATATCTCACTTCTCATTCTTCACTCTCCAAATCGCCCAGCCCACAATAACCATGTCAGAGTTCTGGTATTTGCCTATTGTTTTTGGAAGTTAAATTGGAAATGTAAAAAGAAAAGGCTTGATTTTTCCTTTAAATTTAGCTGCCTTCTAAGATGGAAGAGACAGAGCATGGTTCAAATAGATGAAACATCTTTGTGAAGTAGCAGAGTCTGCTGGAAGAGATTATAGTCTGTGTTTTTCTCTAACTCTCCATCTGCCTTCTAAGTAGAGCCCATACAGTTATTATTCTATCTTTTACACTAGCTTTTAGACCTTTTTCTGGATAAAATTTTATGTTGATTTTCTGTTTGGTACCTTTTATTTTCTTGTGATATTCACTTCAGAACTCAATCCCTTCAAAATGTTCATCATATTTCTTTGCTATAGTTTCCTTTCAGTGTCTTGTGTGTTTAGTCTTTTTCCTCTGTCATTCTCCAAAGCTACTTTTGCTGAGGTATTTTATTAATTTCTCGGGGCAGGTTGCAAGGCCTCCATGGAATTAGCTGCCTTGCTGCTTTCCTGTTGGTTATTTTCTTCACATTTTATCTTCTTTTGTTTCATACAAACCTGTGTTTCCATCTTCTGTTAGGTATTCTTTAGCATTTCTTGGCAGTTCTTGTTCCTCCTGTGTTCTAGGTGAAGGCATCTTTTGCCTCCCGTGTTTCTTTCCAGTATAATTGAGGGGAGGTCCTCCTGGATGTCTTAGCAACATACCTGGCAAGAGCAATATTCAGTTCTGTCCTACTCTTCCTGAGCAAAAAGTGTGGAGAAAACCCTAACTGGTTAATGATTATCAAATTATGACTACATGGAACTTATTGGCAGCTACTTTCAAATGAAAACCACCTTCCTTATGTGAAAATTCAAGTGTAAAACTAGGCTAACAGCATGATGAGATAAAACAATGACACAAGACTCCAGATTCTAGTTCTTGAACTCCTATTGCAGTTATAATTATATAATGCTATTATTGACTGTTTTCTTCAATCTTGTATTGCTATTCTGTCATTATTGATACTTGATTTCAATATCTACATACAAAAAAAAAGGTTAAGATTTTCACTTGCGATTTTTAGACAATGGGAAGCAGCAGTTTGTTTCTCCTTTTGCATCACTTAGACAGTTGTACTTCTCTGTATTGTTAAATTTGAAGAAGGTAGACTTTCCTGATACCTTGTTTTTCACAGGTTTTGGCATGTTTGGAGAGTGCAGTGAATGACTTTTTAACTGAGAGGCAGTTTTGAATTTTTTTCCCCAAAATATAATGTTAAAACATAGTCAACTTGCAAAATGTGTTTCTTTATATATTTCACTTAAAGACTATACTTATTTTTCTCCCCTTCAGACAGCCTGTTTTCGAGAAGAGAGAGATGTGTTAGTGAATGGAGATAACCAGTGGATCACAACATTACATTATGCATTCCAGGATGAAAACTATTTAGTGAGTGTTGCTTTTATGTATATATGGATGGAAATGTCAATTCTTAGTTGTGGTTTGAGACAGAAATATAGCTAGTTTATTTGTTAATTTTGTGTTCTGAACCATATAGACCATGTGAGGATATGTGATTTTGTGTATAAGTTTCTGAAGGGTGGAGAGGGGTCGGAAGCTTTTAAAGTTTTGCTGTAAATATCTCAGGAATGCAGCTTTGTTTTCTAAACCACTTTGCATTTGTTGATAAACCTTGGTCTGTCTGCATCTTCTTTCTTACAATTCATCACTCCAGTTTAATTGGATTCATAAAAATAAAAGTGCACTTACTAACATAAATTATCTATTTGACTTTAAAGTATTTTTTTGGCATTAACACTGCTGATTACTGTTTTACAGTTAGAAATAGGGAGTAGCCTTGTTTTGAAACAACAGTTCATTTTGATTGGTCTTTGCTTTTTTGAGGAGTTAAACCCACGGAGATGTCATAAAGCAATAAAATGTTCTTGCAGCATGGAAGAATGCCACTAAATGTTCATAAATAAGAGTTGGAAGCTGTAATTCTAGATTAAAGTGTCCCTTTAATATTTAATGTTATTTAGCTTTCAAGTGTTTTGAAAGACTTGCAAAAAGAAGCTAAGATGAGGAAAAAGTGCCAATTTTCTATGAAACCTTTCCCACTTAAAATATGCTTGGATTGTGATACAATTTTGGTAATATTTATTCCTGAAAACGTAAACAACTACACACTGATAGATTTTGCTTATTTGGGTTTTATTGCCCTGTGCTTTGGATTCTGTATCATTAGTATATTCTAATGTTTTCTTACAAATCTACTGTGCAGTCATAATCTTTTTCTGCCCTCAGTGTGTCCAATAAAAAAAGTGTTATACATGGGATTCTTGTAGAATTGCTATACTTTTTGCTGTTTGTTATATTGCTTTCTGTTCTGCCAGCTTAGATACTTGGAGATCCATGGATTTTGGTGGAGTTTATATATAAACAGGCCTCTGCATTTGTGAATTTAACTTGGCTTAAACACCTCCTAGCCGCTTCATGCTTTGTTAATGTGGTCAGTAAAAATAATCTCATGTTTTATGTAATTCTGATCTTACTATTAAGAGTATTTCAAAGAAAATACTATATATTCTGCAACGGCCTAATAGAATTTGTTTTACTCTTGCCAGTTTCCTTATTTTCACTAAGCACAGAGTAGCTTCTGTTCTTTATCTTTGATAGTCTGCTAACAGGAGGTAGTTTTGCAGCCTGGTGGGTAAAATATCAGTAACACTGTTTTTCATGATTTTAGTGTGAATGTATCACTAGTCCTTTATGTGCTTGTTATTAAAATAAAATGTAACAGAAATGGCCTATAAAAAAAAAAAATCTGTGTAGCTTGAGCAGTAGATGTGGTTGAGCAGTGGATGTTTATTACCTTGACTTTAGTAATGCCTTTGACATTGTCTGCCATAACATCATCAAAGACAAGCTGACAAAGTATGCATTAGATAAGCAACAGTGAGGTGGATTGAAAACTTGCTGAACTACTGAGGCCCGGGGGTGTCGTGGTCAGTGATAGAAAGTCCAGCTGGAGGCCAGTCAATGGTGGTGTACCCCAGGGCTCAATAGTGGGGCCAACATCTTCATTAATGACCTGGACAGTGTGATGGAGTGCACCCTTGGCAAGTTCGCAGATGATAAAAAACAGGGAGAAGTGGCTGATACGCCAAGATGGCTGTGCCGTCATTCAGATGCACCTCAACAAACTGGACAAGTGGACAGAGAGAAATCTCATTAAGTTCAACAAAGGGAAATACAATGTCCGGCATCTGGGGTCAGTAATATAAACCAAGTACATACTGGGGTCCAACTGGCTGGAAAGGAGCTTTGCTTGAGGTGCTGGTGGATAACAAGCTGACCATAACCCAGCAATGCACCCGCATAGCAAAAAAGGCCAAGAGTATTCTGGGCTGCAAGGTCAAGTGTTGCCAGCAGGTCAGTAGAGGTCCTTCCTCTCTGCGCAGCCCTAGTGCAGCTGCATCTTAAGAACTGTGTCCAGTTCTGGGCTCCCCAGTGCAAAAGAGAGATGCAGCTACTGGAGCAAGTCCAGTGCAAGGCCAGAAAGACAATTAAGGTACTGGAGCATCTTTCATGTGAGGAGAGGCTGAGAGAGCTGGGATTCTTCAGCCCAAATAAGTGAAGGGTTGGTGGGATTATCGTCAGTGTGTGTGAATACCTGATGGGAGGGAGTAGACAAGGGAGCCAGATTCCTCTCAGTGGTGCCCGGTGACAGGACAGGAGACAATGGACACAAACCGAAACACACAGAATTTCATCTGAATGCAAGAAAACGCTTTTTACCGTGAAGGTGGTCAGATACTGGAACATGTTATCTGGAGGAGTTGTGGAGTCTCCGACCTTAGAGATACTCAAAACCCAACTGGATACAGCCCTCATCAGCCTGCTCTAGCTGACCCTACTTGAGCAGATGAGGTTGGAGTAGATGACCTCAAGAGGTCTCTTCCAACCTAAACGACTGTGATTTAGGATTAAATGCCCATGTTAAACTTCCACTAGTTACTAGAATTTAATGTCCTTAAATCTGTGCTTTTTCTCTCTCTTGGAAGGATGGTGCTGTCGTACAGTAATATTTTGAGAAGTATTTGAGACTTGAATAAATCTGGATGATTGTGTGAATTTAGAAAGTATTTTTAAAGCTTTTTTAAAAAAAACCCAAACACCTCTTTTCAAGACATGGATCTTTGACATTGGATGGGGTGCTATGCATTGACTGAATTGTTTTATTAAAAATGTAGTTGTTAAACTTAGCTATGATTCCTATGCGTGTGTTTAACTTCAAGTGCATGACTTAATAGCGAGTTACAGTTTAAATGTTGGCATATTTGAGGAGTTGAGGGTTTCCTTGTGATTAAGCTGCTGTGTTGTTCTTGCAAAATGGGAGGTATGGAGTTCTGTGTTGTAGGAGCCAAAATTCCTTTATTTTGGTATATCCAGTTACTGAGTTGTACTGCTTTTAAAAATGCTGAAGAATGAGTGCAGAGATCCCACATCAGTTATTAGAATCTTAAGAGTTTTTTTAATACACTTTCAAAGCAGGAAGTTAAGCTCTTGCAGATCTCACTATATAGTGTCTCAGTTAATAATAATCACATTAAATTCCAAAGGCTTAATGTATTTTCTAAAACTGTAAAACATGAGAAGCTAATACTGTAGATCTTGTTTCAGAAGGAGCGTAGGAGCACCACTGAATAGAAGATATTTATCTTGTGTAAGGCTTGTGAGCATAATTTAAGAAGTTTACTACTCATGTCACAAAGCAACTGACAAAATTTTGATTGTCAGCACATTCAGAATTTTGTGGAAACGCATTCTGTGCTTTCTTCATGCGCTTGGAATCAATGAGGATGCCCAGGTGATTCTGTATCAAATTGCTAAAGTCTTTGTTTATCACCTTTGTTGTTATGGAAAGTATGAGGAAAGAAAGAGGCATATGATTTCTGCCTGCCCCACATCTTCCTTATAGCTGGTATAATTTTGCAGAATTTTTTCCACACGTACTGATTTCTTCTTCTGAAGGTGGTGAAGACTTGAGCAAACGAGGAGAACTAATTATAAAAAGTCCCTCTTAAGTTGCTTTACCAAAATTTTAAAGAGTCAAATTAGGATATACATTATTGCATCTTTTTTTTATTATTATTATTTGTGGTTCATTATACACGATTGTTAAGAGTCACTGCTTCAAATACAGATATATGCTGCCTTCCTGGAAGCAGAGGTTGGAACTCTAGGCAAAGCCTTCTGAATACTATGTACTTTAGTGGGAAACTATTCTAATTAGTCGGTCCACAATGATGTTTGATAGTAATGTTATAGCAGTGGGTGTTAAATTAGATTGGTTTTAATTAGTTTGTTAATTATAATTAGTTTGATTTTTTTCTTTTCTCTATTTGCCCTTCCAGTTGCTGTTCCACAATTAAAACAAACTAAACTAATATGAAAAGATATCAATCGTGAATTTCCCACTTTTCTCAAGTTTACTTTGTCCAGTCTTTTGAGCATGTCTCTAAAGGAAGTGGCATTTTGTTCTGTCATAATATAGTAAAATGGAGAAAGGTTCTGATCTCTTAGAAGTCATTGCACCTAATTCAATGGCAAGCAGGTTTTGTTTCATTAATAAATCAGGAATCAAGTGTATTTTTCCCTATCAGTTCAATTAAAGAAGGTGACACCTTCTCCTCCATATTGGCAGATGCTGTACTGTGTGCAAGGTCAACAATATCTGTAATTGTACTGTGAGCCACTGGAATTCTCTTGATCTTTGCCTTAATCTGTATAGTGTAAAAACTTTAATTTCCAAAATTGTTTGTTTAATGAGAAAAGATGATGGTAGAAAAAAAGAGAAGGGGAAGCCTGGGAAGTTAGGGCCCTTAAAATGAGATCCCAAGTTAACACAATTGGTTTTGTTTTTACAGGTCTGTGCTTTAATCCTTTACTCCTTTTACATTCTGTCAAAGGGTATTGTTTTTATAAAGTAATCCAGAGTATATAAATATTTTATGTTTGGTGATGGAACAGTGGATGAAGCTGATACTGTCTTGTCATGAGGCTCACTGTATTTGGAGAGGTATAAATATAAACATAAACATATTCAAATAAATAAAATAATTTGTAAACATTAAAATGAGGCTGAACCAGCTACTTCTGTTTCAGAACAGCTAAGCATCTTGGTAAGCTTTTTTCATGCCCATAATAATTTTTGCGATAAATTAATTTTTATGCTTAAATTAGTTTTTAATCTCTGATTCACTCAAAGTGTTCCTCCCTCATGTTTTCTTGTCAT